ATAGAGATAGAGATAGAGATTTGTTGCCCTTCCCATCCCAAGCATGGACGAAATTTGCCACCTGGGCACGTGCCTTGACTGCAAATCACACCTGCAATCTTTCAGTCTACAGGATGATGCTCCAGCCACCTAAGCCATGCTGGCCTGGGCAGGATAACTCATATTTAAACTTAAAATCAGTTTAAACAAAAACAGCTCATAATTTTCCTGCAGCACCAAAACCATGATAGGGAAGAAGATGAAACATAAGTTCATAAAGTGACCCCTAAGAACAACTATAGTGTAAAACAATGCCCGATCCCTAAACCCCACTGCCTGGCACCCAGAAGGAACAGCTGAGTCAGACTTGTGTTCATGAGAGTGTCAGGCAGGGTTATGCACATCAATGCGTTGTTGTAACATTAACAATTAATAGGTAGACCTCCAATCCAGAGAGGATGGTGTCGACCCTTGTTCCTTACTACTCCCCTCCACTCACAGCCATACACCTTGTGACTCATGCAAGAGGCCACCAGAAAATTCTGGAGATAAGAAGGTAAACTCATTTAGGAGCCTAAGATGTGAGGGACAATGCAGAGGCAGGGCCCCTCAGTGCCCGCACCCAACAGAAGAGTCATGCTCAACCCACTGTTTCCCAAATGCTGACTGAGAATCAGGAGGCAGCCAGGTAGGCGCCTCCCTCTCCAGGTCTCTCTGACAGTAGCAGCGAGTCCAGCAAGAGGGGTCAGTGGGAGCCAGGAAGTGCCTACTTTTCCTGTCAGGACTGAGAGTATCCTCTCCTGCCCAGAAGCACAGGGTGGGTGGACAGAACTGGAGAAAGGCTCCAGCATAGTGTCTAGTATTCTTGGCCCTGACCCTCACTTTTCTCCTTTGTCAGCTGAGAGGGCTAGCCTCTCACTTTAGATTTCTTGTGTTGGTTTTGTTTGTTTTGTTGCAGCTGGCATGAAGAGAGCTACTTAGAAATCATCCAGAGGGCAGGAAACAGAGACCTGAACAAACACATCCTCCTGCCTGTGGCTCAGCCAGGTGGGATACACATACATCATCCTCAGGATGGACAAGGCTGAGAGTGAGCAAGAAAGGGGGAAGATGGAGCAGAGACAGGAGCCCAGCCCAACGACACCTGATTGTTTGCTCCCCTCCCTTGCACAATTTTCCCCTCCTGGCCCCAAACGGGGACATAAGTGTCTCGGGTCAGACCCTTCTGCAGAGTTGGGAGGCAGGTACCTGAGTTCACCTCGGGACGCGGCTTCAGCACCGTGGACAGTGGCAGCGGCCCTGCCTGTGTCTCCCTGGGCTTCAGTATCTCCTCGTGGATTGAGCGCCCCCTGGAGGCCAACCGTCTACCAGGCCCAGGGCAGAGTGGGAGGGACTGGGTGAGGGTCTGGTGACCTCCTAGGTCAGTAATGCTTGTCATGGGTGTTGGGACCTCCTGGTTGCCCCTCTCCTCAGACGTGACCTCTTTCCCTGTATGGATGTCACCTATGTACTGGATGCCGTGCTAACTCATTAGATGGGAATAATGAAGCCAGACTCGGAGCATCACTGGAAGAGAGCATTCACCACTCAAAGTGGGGTCCTTATGATACTTGACAGCTGTCCCAAGACCTTAGGAGAAATCAGGTTTCCTTCTAGCTTTTTATCTGTCCCCAGCCAGCTGAATACCTTCATGCATGCTTTCTATCTTTCCCCACCCGAGCTGATTGTAACTCTTACAGTACGGGACAGGCTTTCCCTATTTCTGGGGTTTCTCACACTTCTGTCTGCAGCCTTCTGGTCTCTGCCCAGGTGGTCTCAACCTCCCCAGACTCCCAATCCCACTTATGCCCAGATACTTCCTGCAGTTACTCACACAGGCTGGCCTGAGCCTCAGAGTCAAAGAGTCCCAGGAAGTAGAGTAAATAGATTTATATGTTATATAGACTGGTGATAAGGAGTTTGCAGATAAGCAAAGCAGAAAAGTTATATAGAAAATATGGGATGGATTACATTCTTCATGGTGTTGTTTGTGGTTGTCATTTTTGAGAAGCTGAGCTTTCAGTGTGCACACATGCACACTCACCACAGGTGCCTCACAGTCACACCCACCCCTCAGATATGTGCACATAATACACACAGAGACCACAGACACACATATACACACATACACACACAGAGACCACAGACACACATATACACACATACACACAGAGATCAGGGACACACATATACACATATGTACACACAGAGGTAAGGGACACACATATACACACATGCACCCAAAAACACAGACAGACATGCCACAAACATGCAACACTTCTAAAGAACACACACACACACACACACACCAGGTCTCACACCCTGGGTGCTCACAAAGCCAGCTTTGCAGGGAAAGATTCAGGCCTGATGGTCAAGCCAACCAGACCCAACATCCCAGCAGGAGGGAAGGTCTGGGATGCTCATGACCCCAGGTTCCTCTCTGCCATTCCACTCACCTTCCCTGTCAATCTCAGAAGCCACCCTCTGACCATCTGATGTCACCACACCGCTAGTCCCTGAGCTTGTGGTCCACCAGTCTCTGTGGTTTCATCACCCTGCCCCACTGGCCTGTGAGGAAACTACATTTGTGTCCACACTTAGACCAAGCAGAGAGATGGGAGAAGGGAAGGGATGTTCTGAACATCTGTCCTCCTTTTGAAAGACTGAGACCTGAAGCCAGGACAGGTAGAAAGGAAAGTGGACTCACCTGAAAGGAGTGGGTAGGGGGGTGAATAAGCAGGAGGAGAACCAAAATAGGGAGGGAAAAGGGGAGGTGGAGTAAGAGAAAGAGGAGGGGAGGGGGAGGGTCAGGGGAGATATGGAGGAGAGAATGAGGGAGGGGAGGAAGAAGATTCCTTGGATGCTGGAGAGGAGAGGCTGAAGGACTGACTGAAGCAAGTGGGATGCAGCTGTACACCCTCCGTTCCCCACCAGCATCTCTAGCTCTGGTCCTGCTCTGTCAAAAGGGGTGACTTCCCTCCCATACAACCCTGCCCCCCTTTCACCTCCCAGTTCACCTGTGCCATCACCCAGGCCCACCCTCTCTTCCTCCTCAGGTTCCTCCACTGCACCCCACCTTGTGTCAGCCCTAACAAGCCAGGCTGCAACTCTGTCCCTGCCTCCCATCCAGGTCCTCCAGGGTCTGCCTCACCTCCACACAGCCCCTCAAGAACACCCTGCTCCAGAGATGAGAGGCAGGAACCCAGGGTGCAGGCGCAGTGATGGGGCTCTCCAGCAGAGGGAGCAGCCTGAACAAGCCCAGGTGGATGGTCCTGCCCTGGGGAAGGAGGAGCAGGGTGGCTGGGCTGAAGCTGCAGCCCTGCAGAATGCAGAGCAGGTGGTGGAGGAGCAGAGGAGTTACCTCACAGGGTTTCTTCCTGTTACTGAGTCATTCCCTTTCATCTCCTCCTCCCACCTGCAGAGTGGCCCATCCTACAGACCTACCCCATGTGGACAGTATCACGGTGGTCTGGGCCAGGCTGCTCCCCACACTTTACTTGTAGGAACACCTTCTTGACAACCTCCTGTGTTCCCTGGCTCCAGCTGTCATAACACAATGCCGCCACTAGGGGGTGAAAACCACAGAAATTCAAATTCTCACAGTTCTGGAGACAGAAAGTTCAACATCCAGGAGGTGGTAGGACTGGAACCTTCTGAGGGCTCTCTGCTTGGCTTGCAGATGGTTCTTCCCCTGTGGTCTCTTCTCTGCACCTATCTGTGCCCTAAACTCTCCTTATAAGGACACCAGTCCTATTGGATGAGGGTCTACCCTAGTGACTTCATTCTATCTTAATTCCCCTAAAACACCCGTCTCCAAAACAACTCACATTCAGCAGTAGTGGGGGTCACGACATGAACAGATGTATTTTGGGGATGACACAATTCAGCCCACAGCATCTCGTGATCCTGGACGTCCGACTGTGCACAGGGCAGTGAGGCCTTTCCCGAGGCAGCACACTGAGCATGGAGGAGCCAGGCTGCAGCCCAGGTGGTCTGGCTGCACAGCCCACACCCCTAACCCCACCCTGCAGATCTCAACTGAGGAAGCCCAGGGCAGAGCTGGCCATCAGGGGATGTCCACCAAGGGCCAGACTCAGAGGGACCACTGAGGATTGGGCAGGTCCAGCACCTGCACTTACCTAGGGTTCTCCCACAGAAGATGAGGGTTGAGGACTGTGATGCCTCCTGTGACAGATGAGGAAAGTGAGGCTTGGAGGGCAGAAGAGCCAGGCCCCCCTGAGTCCAAAGGCACACTGTGCTGCCATCTTGCTCTGAATCAACACCAGGGATCCCTCAGTGGCGGGCTCTAAGCCAGCCAGCAAGCTGGGGACAACCTGTGGGGTCACAAGCTGCTCACCACTTGGGTGGCCTGATCCTGTCCTCCCTGGCCATTTTCACCTGGAAGATCACTATTGACTGCCCAGAGCAAGTGGGTTTCCTACACACCCTGGGTTGTGCTCCCACCAACACGCCCTGGACCACTGGGAGCTGGCATAGCCTGGGGCCCCTCTGCCTCCCCGGGTGTGAGGGTCACTCTCAGCGACAGGGACAAAGGCTTCCACTGTCCCCACTTTGACTCCACGCCCCTGAGGTAGTAGATGCTCTGGTGGGCTGTGTGTTCATTCCTTCATCCACCAACACCTGTCTCACCTGGAGGACTATGTCACATTTCATGCCTTCTGTTCCCCTCTGACCGTCCTGAGTCCCACTCCCAGGAGGCTGATCCTGAGTACTGTAGAGAAGCTGTGCCTGCTTTCTTGTTTGAACAGTAGTGCCAGAGGGAGGGGCGAGGACAGGGAGCCAGACATATTGGGCCGGGTCCTCCTCAGCATATGGGGCCCTCATGGGGACCCTATGTGAACAGTGGAAGAACTTATTCTCCAAGGGCCAGGCCAGCTCCACCACACAGGCTGCCCACTTCCTCCTCCCTCATCATCACCTTTCTCCCTTCCCCCTGGCTTCCTGTTGGGGCTTCCTCTCAGTCCTGTGACACAGAGACCCTGACACTTACCCTAGAGATGCTGTGGCTGCTGCTGCTGGCACTGTTGTGGGCAGGTGAGTGCCCTAGGGGAGAGTGTGTGGGCTGGGGTGGAGGCTGTGACTGACTGGTCTTTCCATGCAGGGTCCCTGGCTGAGGATGGAGGATTTCGGCTGCAAGTGCAGGGGTCTGTGATGGTGCAGGAGGGCCAGTGCATCTTCGTGCCCTGCACTGTGATCTATCCCAAGATAGGCTGGACTGAGTCTGACATAGCTCATGGCTACTGGTTCCTGGAAGGGGCCAAGTCAGGCGAGGATGATCTTGTGGCCACAAACAACCCCAATCGCAAAGTGAGGGACCAGACCAGGGTCTGATTCATCCTCGTTGGGGACCCCCGGACCTACAACTGCTCCCTGCACATCAGAGATGCACAGAAAAGGGACACAGGGAGATACTTCTTTAGGGTGGAGCGAGGGTCCTGTGTGAAAGAGAATTACAAAAACAACATGCTCTCTGTTCATGTGACAGAAAAGAAATTGGGTCAAGGTGAGGACACATGGCTGGGTCCTGAGGTCTCCTGGGCTGGGAAGGGACCTGATTCTCCTCATACTGGGAAGGACTCAGGGGGACTGATGGGAACTGGATCCAGGGGTTAACCTGGAACAGAGGCTGCAGTTTAGGGCACACTCAGGGATCCCACCTCCAGGGCCTCAGTATCTATATCTCTCTTCTCCAGATCTGGTGCCTGACATCCACATCCAGGGGACCCTGGAGTCTGGACACCCCGTATTACCTGTACAGTGTCATGGGCCTGTGACAGAGAGACACCACCCATCTTCTCCTGGACGGGAACCAACCTTGCACCCCTGGGTCCCAGGACTCCCAACTTCTCAGTGCTCACCCTCACACCAGGGCCCCAGCAGCATGGCACCAACCTCACCTGTCGAGTGGCCTTGCCAGGTAGTGAGATCAGGGAGAGGATCGTCCAGCTCAACCTGACCTGTGAGTACCCAGTCAGCACACTGGGTCCCTGAGGGTGGAAAGAGTGGGGGGCCCCCTGACTTTCATGTGAAAGTGAGTAGGAGCACACCTGTGCCAGGAGGGCCCTGGAGTCTTGGGGAGGAGACAGGCTCCTGTGATCCCTCTCCTATTTCTCTCCACAGACCCCCCACAGCTGCAGGGACCCTCCTGCTCCTGGGAGGATGAGGGTCTCCACTGCACCTGCTCCTCTTGAGCCCAGCCAGCCCCCTCCCTGTGCTGGTGGCTGGGGGAGGCCCTGCTGGAGGGGAACCACAGCAATGCCTCCCACACGGTCACCTTCCACTCAGCAGAGCCCTGGGTCAACAGCTCCCTGAGCATCCGTGGGGAGCTTATATCCAACCTCAGGCTGGGATGTGAGGCCCAGAATGCCCATGGGAAAGAGACAGTGACTGTCCTGCTGCTGCCAGGTCAGGTGTGAGGGGGGAAGCCCAGGGAGGGGTACACAGGGCTGGACCCTAGAAGACACTGAGTGGGAGGGAAAGTGGCCTGACACTGGGCAAAGGGGCACTGGATCCCATGCCCCTCGGACATTGGCTGGAAAGGGGCTGGGGGAACTGGAGGCTGCAGTCACATGAAGGGGTGGGGGACAAAGAAATCCTTCATGGGAGTGGTCAAACTTTTCACCATGGATTCGAGAAGATGGGATGCTCAGAATCCTGCCTAAGGAAAGAGGAGCTCACCCCAGGTGTCTTATCTCTGCAGGGCGACCAGGATATAGGACAGGAGTGATTCAGGGGGTTGTTGGTGGAGCTGGTGCCTCAGCCCTGCTGGCTGTCTGCCTCGGCCTCATCATGTGAGTGGGTGGTGGCCTCAGGGTAGGCAAAGGCCTCAAGAGGTGGAGGTGGTGGTATGTGGGGGCGGGGGATGCAAAGAATCTCCAAACCTCAAAGCCCAGAGTTGTGACAAGGTGATATATCTGGGAAGAGCACCACTAGTTGAGGCAGAATCAGGAAGTCAGCCTCCTGGCACCTTGGCCAGGTGCACTGTGTTCCCAACACCTGGCTGCAGCTGTCTGGGAGGAGGGACGTGTGTTCCTGTCCTGGTCCCTGAAGCCAGGGAGCAGCCTCCACACCTGCATCTGTAAGCCCTGCCAGGCCCCCAGGTGCAAGCCCACTGAGCTGAAAGGCCCTGTCTCTCTCCTCAGACTGAGGATCTGCAGGAAGAAATGGGCAGAGAAGGCAGAGAGCCAGGAAGGCATCTCCCAGGTGAGTGTCAAGGGCCACGTTCCACCCAATGTCCCTGTGATGAACACAGGTGTTCCTCCTCTGCCCCCAAACTTGGCCCTCCCCCAGGTTTCCTGGCACAGCCCCTCAGATCTTAGAACTGTCCTCTCCCACATCCCCCAGAGCCTATCATTGGCCAAGTCCTGTCCCATTTCCCTTGTAGCAACGCCCTTCTCCTTTGCTTCCTGTCCTGCTGACCCCCCAGCCACTTCCTGGGGTCCCTGATTCCACCTCCCCTCCCTGAACATTCCCCACACAGCTGTCCTGCTCCCATCATTAACATCAGCGAGTTCAACAGAAACATGATACGAACAATGTTTATAACTTACCACTTCCTAGGAGTGGTATCCAAAAAGTAGGAAGGAACACGAGATCAGCTTTTCTGTAAAATGGGATAACATTCATATCCATGGAGACAGGTCATAAGGATTACATGAGATTAGAATAAGAACAAGCTTTTATGCTTAAAATTTATTAATGGTACAAATCGGTAAATGAATGAATGAGTGAGTGGATGAATGAGTGTGTGAGTGAATCCTCAGGAAATGGATGTGAAAAGGACAAATGAATAAGTCCCTCAAGCCCCAAGTGCCCCTCTCTAGACCCGAAACCCACCTTGTATGCATTTCTCTCCTCTGACTCAGGGTCACCTGAGTGCACCCTCCTCCCACCAGCTGCCCCCAGTGCCGGCCACCTCCCCCTCAGAGCATGAGCTCCACTATGCTGCTCTCAGTTTCCACAACATGAAACCACACAACACTCAGGCCCAGGAGACTCTGTACTCTGAGGTCAAGATCCAGAAATGATGGAGCACCCCCATCTGCAGAAGCTGGCTGGAGCCCAGAAAAGGCATCTCCGAAAGGAAAGGTGTGTCAAGGCCCGATTCTTAAACAGGTAACAGCCCTCTGAGCCAAAGGTCATGAATGGAAACATGAAGTTCCTTCGAGTGGCTGAAGTGGCAGAGATTCCTGGGTTTGAATCCAGGCTCAGCTACTTACTGAGGGTATCCAGCAGGCAAATCACTTTACCTCTGCGTGCCTCATTTTCCTGCTCTGTAACATGGGGGATAATTTGATGACCTACATTGTTAAGTGAGAAAACAAGCACCATTGGCATTAAGGACGTTGTTGTGTATGAAGTTTACCTCAAGTCAGAGGGAGATGTCACTTTTGTCTCTGTCTCTATCCTCTGCCTGGTTGATGATTTTAAGAACTTGTATTATCTTCAATGGGTGGAGAGGAACTTGTATTATTTTAAAATATTTGCATTTGTAAATGTAACTCCTTGGCAGGAGAAGATATTTCCCAATACATATATGTAACAAAGGATTCGTCCAGAGTAAATAAAGACTGTGTAAAGATCTTCCAAAAATCAGTGAGGAAAAGGCAGACAACCCGAGAGAAAAAACGGGGTATTCCAGGGGCCAACATACACGTGGGAAGGCTGCAGGCTTCAGCAGCGATCAGGGAACTGCAAATAGAAACTGCAGTGCTCTGCCACCACACAGCCACCACACTGGTGAAAATAATACAAAGAATATAAAAAGTACCAGGTGTTGAGAACACTGCACTGAGTGAAAAAAGAGCCAGTCACAGAAAGACAGACACTGTG